CACGTGTAAATGTACATACACACATATCATTCGTATCACTGTCCTTTTTTTTTTTAAGATTTTATTTGTTTATTTGACAGAGAGAGAGAGAGAGAGAGAGACAGCGAGAGAGGGAACACAAGCAGGGGGAGTGGGAGAGGGAGAAGCAGGCTTCCCGCGGAGCAGGGAGCCCGATGCGGGACTCAATCCCAGGACCCTGGGATCATGACCTGAGCTGAAGGCAGACGCTTAACGACTGAGCCACCCAGGCGCCCCTCACTGTCCTTCCTGTCCTACTTAAGAAATACAAAAGTGTTTGGACAGTTCTTTCTCACTTTTCCTGAGCCATTAATTTTTCTCTCTCTATTGGTCATTCCCACTAACTTACAAACATGTGATTTCTTCAATCTTTTTTTTTTTTTTTAAGATTTATTTACTTCAGAGAGAGAGACAGTTGGGGGAGGGGGAGAAGAAGAGGGAGAATGAAAATCCTCAAGCAGACTCCCCGCTGAGCATGGAGCCTGACACGGGGCTTGATCCCAGGACCCTGAGACCATGGTCTGAGCCAGAGGCAGACACTTAGCCAACTGAGCCACCCAGGTGCCCCTTCTTTAATCTTGAAAAAAATGAAAAACAAACACCTCTATTGACTCCATGTTCCCTACTAGCTACAATAGCTTTTCTCTCCTCCCTTTACATTAAAGCACCCCGAAGAACTGTTACATACTCATGATTCCCCAATTTCACTCTTCCTTTCCTTGCTTGACTCTCTCTAATCGTGTCAAGGCTTTGTTATCTCTCCCACACCTCTGCCTGCACCTCCAGCCCTCAGAGTACTTCCCACACACTGCTCTTGATGGCCACAGTGCTAAACCAAAGGTTGATTCTTTATCTTTATCTTACTTAGTTGTCAGTAGCATTGTACACAGTTGACGACCTCCTCTGTGAAATTTTTCCCCCCTTTGGCTTCAAAGTCAACAGATTTCCTGATGTCTCTTTCTACTTCAAGGGCTACTGCTCATTATTTTCTGCTGGCACCCCCTATCACCTCAACTTCTAAACTTTGCAATATCTAATAGGTACTTAAAATTTAAATATCCAAAACCAAACTACTGATTTTCCCTGGCAAATTGCTTCTTCACACAATCTTCCTCATCTCAATACATAGCAAGCAATTCATTCCTTGTACCAAAATCCTTGGAGACATCAGTAACTACTCACTTCTTTTACATTTTGCTGCCAAATAATCAGTAAATCTGTTGGATTTCCTGTAAAATACTGGAATATTTCAAATCTGACCACTTCTCACAGTCTTTCCCGCTTTTGTCCTAGTCTAAACTGCTATCATCTTGTCATTTATCTCCTGGATGATTGGGGTGGTCTCCAGTCAGTTCTCATCCCTCCTGCTCTTGCCCTGTACAGTCTGTTGTCAAAGTAGCAGCCAGAGAGTTAAATCAGAACTTGTCATACCTCTCTTTGGAATTCCTTAATGGCTTTCATTCTGCAAAATCCTTACCATTGCCCACACCACTCTAGAGATACTGGCCTTTGTGACCTTTCTGACCCTATTACTATTGTCCTTCTATCTCATTTACTCTGCTTCAGTAACACCAGGCAACTTCCTCTTTTATGGACATGCCAGGCACATCCACCTCCGGGGCTTTGCATTTGCTATGCTGGTTTTCTCTTATTGGAACAGTTTCCCTCCAGATATCTGCATGGTTTTCATAGCTTTCAAGCTGTTACCCAAAGATTGCCTTTACAGTGAGGACTTCTCCATTACTCATTTCAAATTTGCTGCCCAAATCTCCCCCTACATACCACCGAACACAATGCGTTAAACACTAATGTCCATCTGACACATTATATATACTAATTACTTATTTATGGTCTTTTTTTTCCCCATTAGAGTTTAAATTCTATGATGACAGGAGTTTTGGTCTCTTTTTGAATTCCCAGTGTTTAGAACAATACCTAGTAGGTATCAATAAATTTTGTTGAATAAGTCAATGAGTTGACTTGCCAAACTAAATTTAAAGAGACTATTGATTTCCCAGGTCAAGTGAAAGTTGATTAATTTATTTAAAACAAACCCAAGATTTAGCCTTCAACTGGTACCATCTATTTTTCTTTTATATTTTTGGAGGCAAAATAAGTCAGACATAATCTTTAATTTCTCACATCCATATATATCACAAGGAAGGTGTTGCTACATAAGAAGAATGAAGAAATCATACTGCTTGGTGCAGAGCTATGATATTTGATGAATATTCTTTTTTAAAAAATATATGTGGTTCTGTATTTTTCTCATATGTAATCTGACCTTGGAGAGGGCTTTATATAAAGTAGAAACCACGCCATAATACCAGTAGAAAAGTATATACCCTGTCTACACTGAATTACATTAAACACCTTTTTGTATCCTCAACCATCAATAATGACCGAAATTCAAAGCCAATTAATAGATAAGACTTTTCAAGACTCATATTTTCCCAATGAAATTTCAGTTCATTTGCTTTTGTATACTTTCATTCTGAAAGCATAATATCATTGTGTTTATTTCATGAGGTCTACTCTTTAAAGCTATGGTGTCAATACTGATTGCTCCAATTAATATTTGTGATTAATTTTGTACTCACTGAAATTGCATTTCCTTTTGACCAGCAGGCATGTAAGTGACAGCTTGAGACTATTCTGTTCTACACAAGCTAATTGGTTTTAATGAAGCCAGAGAAAAACAAAAGAACTCAAGTTTGGAGGGTTTCTAAGAAATTAGAAGACAAATGATTATAAAAACGTAAGGTTGCAAGAGACTTTAAATACAATCTAGCCACCATAAGTAGGGGTGTGACCCTTGTTAGGATACTGGAGACTGCCCAACGTCTGAAGCAACTACATCAAAGATAACGATGTTTGCAAACTGTAACTGGAGTCTTAAGTCAGAGGAAAGGCCCAAGTTAAAGACAATGACTTATTTATCAGTAATAAGAAAAGATTGTATAGGAAGAACTTTAGCTGTTGGGGTAAGAGAAGAAACTCACAAGGGGCCAGTGGAGATTTAGGAAGATGGCAGGGTCAGGGAAACCCGTGCCAAAGCCTGAGCCAAAGGGCACCTAAGAGGAATCCAATGGGTCTGATCTATGCTAGAGTATTCATGGCCTTTGACAGAGCAGCTTCAGAGTGAAATGAAGAACTATTATTCTGTTAATTATATCGGTTAATTCTGATATTGAAAAACAAATTGAAGAGAAAGCAGAGCTGTTGGGAGTGTGTGTGTGCCTGTGTGTGTATATGCGCATGTGTACACGTGTGTATTTGAACATGTTTGTTCAAGGAAGAGTCAGTATAATGGGAGAGACTAATGATGCAAAAGAAAGAGACAGTATGATTGATGGGGAGAACTAAAATTGATATAAACAACAATCAATCCAAGGAAATAAGGTGAATGCAATATCATTTATTGTGGATCTACCATGTATTTAATACTTTCACATTTATTTCATCAGGTCCTAAAAACACCCTGTAAGGAATTATTTTTTTTCCATTTGCAGATAAAGAAACTGAAGCCAAGAGAAAGCAAAGAGATTGTTCGAGGATGCAAACTTGGTATTTGATGAAGTCAGGATTCAAATCCAGAGCTGGCTGAATCCCAAGGCCCTATGTGTAGAGAAAAATGGAAAATTTGGCAAACGAGAGGGGAGATGAGGGAGTTTAACAGGATGTTTAGAGCTGCAGAGTTAGGGCATTAAACCTGGGTTTGCGGACTTGCAGAGGGGTAAAATTCTGTAATTGCCACTATGGTGCATTTAATGGGATTTTAGAAAGAGGTTGCTAAGTAGTTCCAAAAGCATAACTGAAACATGAATTTGTAATGTGTGCAGTCGAGAGCAGTTATGTGACTTGTTCCAGGTTCTTCAGTTCTAACAGAACATCAATATTGAACAAAGGCCAGAATTTTAAAATTCATTGTAGGCTGGCCTATTAAAAATATATGCTGAGGTTAGCAGTTGGGATATTTGTCCATGAATTCTCTAAAACTAAACTTAAAAAAAATCGTGAATATAAAGAGATATGGCCAATTATTTTATGTGCATTTGCTATGCTGGTTTCAGGTTAATCTTAACCTAGTTAAGGATATTGTTGGGTAAGTGAGATCAAACAAGCCCTTAAATTGGACACTTACCTTCTGCCTCATTGATGAGTAAATACATGCTGAGCACCTCCTGTACACCTAACAGTGGAAGGGGAAGGGAACCCATTGCCCATTATCTGCTTCTAGACTTATAAGAAAGAAAAACTACATTGGCAAAGCGGGGTATGCTGCTATTTAGACTGAATTAGTATATCGTAATACATACTAAATTAAATGAGCAATCTACTAGAGAACAAATAGTATTGAAAGCACCAAGTGAGCAATGCTAAGGTTGAGAGATATAAAAAGTCAAGAAGAGTGATGTTCACTGGCCCAAACATAGTCTAACTTCTGAATAATAGGTTCTCTATACCAGTCAGTCAATCATTGCTTTATGAAGGAAGGGATTCTCAACGTGCTTCAACATCTACTCTCTGTACCTTCATTCCAAACCCTGGACCATTTGGAAAAAAGTGCAGGGTCACTGTCTGTCAGACAGACACTAGAGGAATAGAATCTCTCTCTCTCTCTCTCTCCCCCCCTTCCCTCTCTCTCTCTTTCTCTCTCTCACACACACACACAAGCCCACTGTCCACAGGGTCAAAGAGCAGTGTTGAGGTAAGTCAATGAGAGCAAGATGTCACAGAAATCTCATCACAGATGTGAGCAGGAGAAAGATTTCCAGTGAAGAGTCCTTCTGAAAAGCCAGCTAGAGAAAATGCATGGAAAGCTGATTTTCTGTTTCCTAAACTTTAATGAAAATGATTTATGATTAAGACCTTATTCACATACATAAAACTACGTGAGTGAACACTGTGGTGGAAGAAAAAAGATAGTTTAAGTAAATCGTGGTTCACACTTGGTTGTAGATTTAAATACCAACCCTTACCCTCTTTGTCCATCCACCTTTCAGAGTGATTCTCCTGGGAGACATTGGCAGAAACTGAAAATAGAGTAATTTATTTGAAAGACCTTATGGATTTTAGAAATATGTGGTATTACTATCTATAATAGTAATTATATTATTATATCATCAAAACATGAAAAGAAATGTAGGTATTAATTAGATAATGTTCTCAAAACATGAAAGCTATTCATTCACAGTAAAAAGATTCTGCTCACATATTGTGTATAAATTATTAGCTTCTCAAAGGAAAAATGTCATGAAGATATGTAAGAGATGTGATTTGAAGCTTCTCCCCTTTTTTCTTTTTCCTTATTATTCATATAGTTTCACTAAGATATGGCACTTGTTTATGAATGCTTGCCAATGGTTCTCTTTTCTTTCCTGTATTTTTAAAAATCACAATTGCTTTTTCCTTCTACCCATTTTATTCAGAGATGACCAAACACACTGTGTTGTAATTCTCTGTGAAATCTTAAAATTAACAGTGTTTCACTGAAGGGAGATTAGGAAGAATAGAACACATCATTCAATCAGTTGGGTGCAAAATATGTTTGAATTTAAAAATACATATTTCTTCTGTACAGAAGTATGGTTCATTGGATTGTCAACCTCAAACCTGAAAGAATATCTACTCCTTTCAACAATTCTGAAACAATAGTTAATGGAAAGGTTTTTTGTAATGGAAAGTTTGAACACATTATGTCACAATCTTAGATTTATCAGAATGTGATTATAACATTAAAGCTATGTAAATATTATTAAAGAAACAATAAAGTATTGTAGCAGCATAATGAGATTGTACATTTTTCTCTACCAGATTTAGATACACTCTTTTTTTGAAATTTTTAATTTAATTTATTTTAATTAAAAATCAATAACAGAAAGATCTTTGGGAAATCTCCATATACAACTGGCCCTTGGATAACATGGCGGGTAGGGATGCTGACCCACCACACAGTCAAAAATACACATATAACTTTTGACTCCCCCAAAACTTAATTACTAGTAGCCTACTGTTGACTGGAAACCTTACCGATAGCATAAACCATCAATTAACACATATTTTGTATGTTATATGCATTATGTATTATATTCTTTTTTTGTTGTTATTAGATATACTCTTAAAAAGGCTTAGCTACCATAATTTAGATATAAAATTTCAATGTGTGTTTATATGGCATACTTTCACTAAGAAGGTAAGATGTTTGGATTTGTTTTAAATAAAATTGATAATGAAAAGAATAATCAGAAAAATAAATCAACAGGAAACACACTTTTCCATGTGTGTCACAACCTAAAATATATGTTCCTATTTCCTTAACCATGCATTTTCAAAAAGGCTTTTAGTAGCTTACAAAATTGTTATACCTAATTATCCATAACCATAATATTCCCTTGTAAAACTGCTGTCCCTTATAACTGTTATTGTCACTTCCTTATTGACATCAGAACATTTACAAAATAATTGATCTATCCTACCTATAATGGCAATGCCTACTATAGACATTCTGGCAAAATGTTAACAGCTCACAAAGAGACAAAATATATAAAATCACAACAAATTTCATAGCATAATGATCAAGTACAACTGCAAAATTAGAATGCAGCCATTATAAAAGAGTGAACAGTGACCTAAAGGCAATGATTGCTATCTAGACTATCCATGCTAATCTATGAACAGAATCTCTTCATTATGAATGAGTAGCTTTCATTTTTTTTGAGAATGTTATCTAATTAACACCTACATTTCTTTCATGTTTCCAGTACTATTATAGATTATAATACCATAATACCATCAATTTGTATCATTGCTATTACTACAGGAGCAGAGGTACAAATACCCAGAGGATGTGAGAGAAAAAGAAAATTATTTCCCATATCCGTCAAATCCTATCTTTGAACTTATGTTCATATCTACTGGCATTATATCTAGTGCCATGTTACTTATGAGGCACATGCAGTTTGCATGGGGCTGTACCTGTTAAAAGCTGAGTCTTCACTGGAGAATGACAAGTGAAAGCATTACTCTTTGAAAATCAGGGTTTATCTTAGAAAGTAACCTTGGATGCTAAAGATTTTCACAGGAAATTTTAACTTAAGTACACCAGTGGTTAAAATTTTGAGAATAGGGTTGTAGAGAATTGAGACAGGCAACCAAGATATACTACTGCACAAGAGTACTGTAGGCAAATATGCTCACGACTGAATTGATCAATTGACTTACCTGAGACAGATACCATGTTGCACCGGTAAATGACTTTATAGAGTAGATAGTAAAATGAATGCACTCATCAGATATGTGAGAATCACAATCTGAAATCTTTTTAGGAATAAAAATTTTTATTCCTAATTTGAAGGATACAGAATAGAAAAGGTACCTTTTCAATTTTGTTACAAAACTTTATTTCTATATTTGTTTATTTGTTTCTGTATTGATTTTAAATACAAGGAAAAGATCTCTTATTGTAACTCATTGTGAATGATATCCATGCTATTCTGATAACTACTTTGCTATTTCTTAAAAGTGGAAAAAGTTAGATTGGTTGTCATCTGAAATCCACAAATACCAATGGTTTATAGAAGTCCAGTATTACATTGACTTAACCTAATAATCAGAATGAATGCTAAAAAGACCAGAAGGTTCCCACAGCATTTCTATGTTCCTTATTAACTGTTCAATGGCAATAAAATTATTTATCTTCTGAGAATCCAAAGACAAATTTTGACATATTCACCAAGACAATTATTGTCTTATTACATTTTCCAAAGAGCCATAATTCACTTTTTGAGCAAAATGTACACACATTTCTCTTGTTACAAGAGAAAATAATTGCTCTTCTAAAGTTGATCATGAAAACACAAAGTGTATTCTGTATACTAAGGTAGTATCCCCTCCTTCAAAATCTTCCCTTGGTTGTATTCTAATTCTAAGCTAATATCCTTCTGAAATTTGGGGCTTCAACCTACATAATAAGGGCCCGGGACTTAACAGAGAGAGAAAAAGAATCACATATGAGAAACAAATTTAAGTAACATGAATTAACTTTTTATGGAAGACTTTGAAAGATTATCAAAATGCTTTCCTTTAACCTAATTATTTATCTAATTTCATGAGCCTAACAGTGTCTAACTCAGACTCTTGAATGAAAGAATAAAGGCAATGGGTTTTCATTGCCTTTTCATCATCTCCTCTTCAATATGGAACAGGCTATATAGAAGCCAGAAAGACAAATTTTAAAAAGGGCTATTTAGGGGAGGAAGCATGGAGTCAGAGTTGGATTATAGTGATACTAAAACAAGTTGACTTATCTTGCAAAATGTTTTTAACACAGTGAATGACTCAGGACCAAAAGACACTATAAACTAGCTGAGCAGTAGCATCATTTCCAAAAGGGCAATGTACACACACACACACACACACACACACACACACACACACACACACACTTTATAAAAAGAGTTCTAGAGATAAAATGGAAAAAAAAAACCTTACTGAAAAGTCTTCAAAGATTTTCTTGAGTTCTTTGTGACCATGCCTTTCAGCAATATGTGTTGGATCTGAACCCTCGAAATTTTTCATCTTAGATGCCCAGGTTGCTCCTGAACATTGAAGCAAATGAATAGCCAAGTTCTTTAAACCAAATTTTGCTGCACAGTGGAGAAGAGTTGGGAGTTCTTTGAAATGAGTGTCTGTAAGCATAAGAGGTAAAAGGATTAATATGTTTTTATCATGTCTGGAATTCCATAAGAAAAAGTCAAACACAATCTACCTAAAAGTAATTCTCCTAAAGTAGAACAGACTTTCAGTGTGATTTCACATATAAGAAACCATCAGTGGTTTTAACAATGAAGCATCTCCTCCTTCCTATTTCTCATCATACAATAAATATAAACTGATATTCTCACTAGCATTAATGCCCCCATCTTACTTGGGGGGTAAATTTAATTTGGAAAGGCATATCAACACCTTAAATATAAAATAAAACAGAACACAAATATCATATTGTAATAACTCTTTTTGAATATATTTCAACATTAGCCAAACACTAACAATATTAAATAGGTCCATCTATAAAACCTTTCTGTGTTTTCTACTGCCATGCCTAGCTCACTGCCTTCTGAAGGTGAAATGGACACATAACTGCTGGAGGGGATATATTAGATTTCTATGTGAATTTTTTCTTTCAAAAAGGAACTGTGACAGAAGATACAGGTGAGCACTTTTATAAACATCTTCAGTATGGAAATTTCCATCAGAATTTTCAGTTTTCATATCAATGTTTCAGAGTTTGAGTTTCATAATTAGTTATTAGCTATCAATTAGGAGTATTAATTATGTATAACTATAAAATGGTGAATGTAAACAGCTATCTCAATGAAAAAACACACATACACAGCTGAGTGATGGTTTGTTATTATTCTATACTTTCACACCTAGCTGGAAAAAATGTGTCACAGAAGTCACACACCACTTTGCTTGAATAGCTGTGGCATTATCGGAAGCATGCAATGGGAAGACTTATGGCAACAGAAACAAAGGTGTCAAAGCAAAAGTCAATTTTCTTCCAAATGTTTTGGAAAACTGAATCTGCCTTCATTTACCTCTTTACTATTTTGTAAACTAAACCAACAAAAAAGGAAATGAGGAAATGAGACATTGAGTTTTCAATTCACTTGGTTGTTTCAGGGCAGAATAAATTATTTGGTTTCTTGATTTGTATGTTTTAACAGGAAACAAAACAAAGCCCTCCAGGATACATTAAGAACTTTGCTGTAAGGAAATATTTTACCCTTCAAAATGTGTTAGTGCAAAATGGCTATAGGTAAATCCCATGGTTATATTTCAGTGATAAATGCATTGGTTCCTTCTTATATGGTATGCAGTGGGTCAAAATTGATCAAATATTTTATGAAGATGAACCTGTGAAAGCTGAAACTGTCTAAAGTAGGTACCATCTTCAAAATAAAGGTGTAGTTACTTAAGGTATTAAGATATAATTTTTTATTTATTTTCATTAAAAGTCACCACAAAATATAATTTTCTGCTATAATTAAACCAGGGCAAAGTTAATGAAGAAAAATATTTACATGATAATGTCAGATTTTTACATGCCTTTGGTCATCTCTCTCACTGACACATCATACAATAAACAAAAAACATCACCTGGAAATCAGTGCTTTATGCATTATTCCTGCACACTATTATTCTGGTGAACTTTTAAATCACTGTCAATGCAACTTAAAATGTTTTTATCATTAAATAAACATTTAATCATTATGGGAACACAGTCACATTTTAACCTCACCAAACCTCTGTCAGTAAATCCCTCAAGTTTAGGATAATATAATATTAGAAACAACAATAAACTTCATTAAGAATCTCTCTTGTACATCAAAAAGAGTAACTAGGACTATGATAAGTGGTCATGGTTGTTCAGGCTACCTTTCTTAACAGTTGTGCTACTCTGAACCGTGCTTTCTGATATGTAAATGGAAGAAGTTCTGTTTATTTAAGATTATAGTAATAGTAAAGGGTGCTACAGATTTGAAGGTTGGCTTCTTTATTTTCCATTTCTCTACTTCATTTTTAGTAGTAGCTTAAAATCCACTAATCTACTAGAATACTTTGTGAGGTTACAGACATGAGAGAGCCTTAGAGGGTATCTTTTCAGTTTCCTACCCAGTAATAGAATTGTATTCCTATGTGTAAAACTCTTGAATCACAGACCTGTACCTCTGAACAAATAATACATTATATGTTTAAAAAAAAATAGCAGGAAGGGAAAAACGAAGGGGGGGATTCAGAGGCAGAGATGAACCATGAGAGACTATGGACCCTGAGAAACAAATTGAGGGTTCTAGAGGGGAGGGGGGTGGGGGGATGGCTTAGCCTGGTGATGGGTATTAAGGCGGGCACGTCCTGCATGGAGCACTGGGTATTATACGCAAACAATGAATCATGGAACACTACATCAAAAACTTATGATGTAATGTATGGTGGTTAACATTAAAAAAAAAAAAAGAATTGTATTCCTAGAATTTATAAGAGATGATCTGGGTACTACCTGCATACCACTAATGACAGAGAGTCCTTTACTTCCTAAGGTAGCCTGTGTCTTCGTTAGACAACACTGATTATTAGACAATTCTTAGTTCTCTTGAGGTGAATTGTATTTCCTCTAAATATCCTTTGGGCAATATAGAATACGAAAGTCACAAAAGCACAGGCTTAGAGTTGGTTGGTATTCACTATGTGAACTTCAACAAGCTACTAATTATCTGAGCCTAGCCTTCTCTTCCAAATTTGTAGGGCTATTGAGATAATTAAGTGACGTAACACAGAAAAAGTGCCCAGCGAGTGTCTGAAACATAATAGGCTTTCAATAAATATTCTATCTTCTGTGTCAATAGTTTAAAGCATTCTTGTCCTAATTCATCTTTGTTCCAACCATAAGATCCCTAATTCTTTTCATTATTCCAAAGTACTATCCATCCTGAGAGCTTGACCCCAGAATAGTTGGTCCTTTATAAAATGATGAAACAGTTTTAAATTGGCCTTTAGGCCAATGATCATTTATGATCATTTACAGCAACCCTTTTTATTAACTTGGATGAGGTTATTTTGCCTGCTTATTTTCATTAAGTTGGAAATGCTCAGCCTGCTAATACACATGACCAATAACTAAAAAATTTTTAAGTTTTTAAAATTAAAATATGACAGACTTAACCTTTCAAAGAATTTGAAATGATTCATAGGAACTATGTTAGTTATTTTAATGCTAATTAAATCATGATCTTTAGCATTATTTTTGTAGAACATCAAATTAAATATACTCAGCATGTGGATATAATATTATATTTCTATATATGAATAAAGATATTCATGTCAATACAGGTATGATTATGCTAAGAACTAGTTCAGGCTTTTATGTATACTTTTTGTAAAATCATACTTTTTATATTTTCACCTTGATTTGATTATTATGAGAATTTGAGATATGAATGGATTCCTCTGTATCTGGAACAGGCAAGTTTGTAATCACATGATCACTAACATTTTTGCGTAAAGATATTTATGTTTCTAGGGCTTAAAAATTTTTTTTATAAAAGTATAATTTAAAATTGCACTGATGAGTTTGATGAGTTTTAACAATTCTATACACCCATGTAACCACCACCCAAAACAAGCTAAAGATAGCTTTTATCACCACAGCAAATTCCCTCATGTCTCATTCTAGTCAATTCTCCACTTCAGAAGCAACTACTTTCTAATTTTTATCAACATAGGTAAGTTTGATTTCTTCTTGGATTTCACATAAGTGGAATCACATATACTTGTGTTTTGCGTTATCTTCTGGCCCTGTTTTTGATGAGAAGTCAGATATCATTCTTATAATTGTTTTCCTGTATGGAATGTGCTTTCTCCATCACAAACTCCTCACCCTCTCACCCTCCCCACCCACAGCTACTTTTAAGATTTTATTATTATTTTTGATTGTCAGCAGTTTAACTATGGTGTGTGTAGGTATATTTTTGTATTTATTCTGCTTGGGGGTTATGGGACTTATTGAATCTGTGGATTGAAGTCATTCATCAATTTTGGATCATTCATGGCCATTATTTCTTCAAATGTTTTTTTGCTTCATTCTCTGTCACCTTTACTAAGGGAATACAATTACACATATGTTAGATTATTTAATATTATCCTATACAGCTTGGATTGGAATTGAGTCAAATTAATACGTAGATGAATTGAGCTTGTTCTTTTTTATGGCTTTACTTTGAGTCTAGATTTTTCATCTCTTTTTCAGTCTGAATAACTTATTTGGACTGTCTTCAAGTTTGCTGATTCTCTTTTCTTCTTTGTTGTTTCTACAATTAAGGCTATTTAATTTTTTAAAATTTTCTGATATTGTATATTTCTAGGATTTCCTTTTTTATTATAATTTCTATTGCTCTGATAAAATTGCCATCTTTTTACACATTTTGCCAACTCTTACAATAGATTCTATAACATATTTATTACAGTTAATGTTCCATCTGATAATTTCAACATCTGGAACATTTCTGTGTCTGCTTCTAATCACTGTCTCTTTTCTTGACCAAGGGTCACCTTTTATTCCTTCTTCACATTTCTTGTAATTTTTTATTGTACACTGAGCATTGTATTAAAGAACTGAAATAAATAACGTTTACCCCCAGAATAAGGCACATCATTCCCTCAGTCAGACAACTATACTTGAGAACGGAGTGAAACTTATCTGTCAATGAACTAACTGAGCCTGGTCATTTTTGTGTCTTTACTTAGCTTCCATTAACAACTGGCCTCAAATATTTTGAGGACAGGATCACAGCTTTCTTCAGCACAGGCTGGGATCTGGGCCCTACTGAGACTCAAGAAAACTCAGCTGCTGTACAGACTGGCTGTCAGCTTTTGGGTCACCAGATATTCTTCTTTTTCTCCGGTCCCGCCTCCAGACTTCACATCAGCATATCTCTCTCAAATTTTGTGGGGCCTCTGTAGTATACCCAGTTAGGGCGGACTCCTTACCATCCCAATAGCTTGGAGGTATTTCTTCCAGCTTTTATGCCTCTCTCTATTTAGAACTTGCTTTTCATATGGTAAAAGCTTTGATGGGATTCGTCTCAGCAAACTGTCCCCCTTTCACTCTTCAGCAGCCATTAGTAGA